TCTTCTGGCCCAAGTGTGGGCGGCCATCTACAACCGGGGCTGGGCGGACCGCACAGCGACCACCATCGACACCCAGCAGCCGCACCCCGTCACTCTTATCTCTCGTAGATAAGTGAAATTTTCACTGGTTGTTTATATTTGCATTTTCTATACACAATAACCTTTTCAAAATATTTTGATTTATTTTGAACTGTTTAGAGACATTTTCAGTTTCCAATTTTATTAGTTTTTTTTTTTATGAATATCAATAAAAATTTATTAGTTGGTTAAAAAAGCTTGAAAATTTAATACAAGGCTCTACTATATTGTTTCAAAGGCAGATGAAAAATATTAAAAATCCTTAGTCACAGTTTTTTTTATTAGCATTTGAAGTCCACAATTTGACAAAATATGGAAAAATCACGAAAATTTGCAAAATATTTTGAGTTAAGAACTTGTAAAATTTTTTCTTTTTAAATCTAAGATTTTAAAATGTGATACAAGATTCTTTATAAGATTATCTACCTTTATCAAGAACTAAGTGTCTATAAGAAAGTCAAATTAAATTTTATGAGCGTTTGCAATTTTCAAATTTTTACAATATTGGATATTCACTCGATTTCTTATGTAGCGATTTCCTTATTTTGTTGTAATTCAAAAACGAATGAATGTAGTTACATAAAAATTTCACTGGATGTTTATATTAGCATTTCCTATACACCATACAATTTTGAAAATATTTCGACTCTTTTTGAGCTGTTTACGGATATTTTCAGTTTTCAATTTTTTTAGTTTTTTTTCTATAAATATCAATAAAGTTTTATAGGTTGGGCCAAAAAGTGTAAAAATTGAATACAAGGCTCCTGATATATTGTTACAATATCAGTTGAAAAATATAAAAATACATAGTCACAATTTTTTTTTTAAGCATTTAAAGATTTTTGACAAAATTTTGACAAAATTTATCAAATTTAAAATTGAATAATTATTTTGTAGTTAATAATTTATAAAATGTTTAACTTTTATAGCTAAGGATTGAAAATTTAAAACAAGATTCCACATAAGTAGTTAATTCTGTTACCAAAAAATAGTTATTTCGTTGTGATTGTATAATATTATTCATGGGTACTTGAAATTTCTAAAGTAGGTACACTATTATATATCTATGATAGTATCAGGGTTTGCTGTTGTTGTATAACGCGTTATATTTACCTAATGGATATTGTGATATGATTAATTTGGAATTTTGTTATAGGTTTCTATTATATTTTAATAATAATAATTTTTTTTAATACCATAGATAAGTACTAAGTAGGTATATAATATGTCTTATACCTATAACACTGACATACCGTCTCCGCTCAGAATCGTTTTTCTTATACAATGATATTATAATATCATTGAATTAAAATTTAATACCATCCATTATACAGTGACCCACTTGTAACATATTGTACAGCAGAGCACCTTTTTAAAATTCACTCCTAATATTTGAAAACTTAACACAAGGTTCCTCATAAGTTTTATTTATTCAATTTCTATTCAACTCATCGTATTTTTTAGTAAAAGTAAAATAATTTACCATGATAGATCACCAAATTTTTTTCTATTATAATATTTATGTTAGGAGACTAAGGAGACAAAGGAGACAAGCAAAATTTGGTAAAGGGAGGGGGTAATCAACTCTTATAGTTTATACTATAGGTACCTATAATGTACGTTTAAATTGTTATATATTATTAGCTTTGTTGAGTTGAAATAAAAAAACAGACGGGTTGCACTCCGGGAGTGCCGGCAGAAGTGACAACTTGAATATTAACATCGTGCATTTTTGAGGTTTGGGAATAATTATTGAATAATTTTGTACAAATTCCTTTAATTATCAGTATAAAAGTACTATAATTCTATGTTCAATATTAATTTATTGTGCTATAGTACTCAAACATGACAATTTATATTACATTAATAATTTAACACTTCAGAACTATTACAATTATTTTATATTAATAAGTTTATCTCTCAGAAAAATCAACTTCCATCCATAATTCTAAACCTGTTTCAAAAATCAATGCATATTATAGTAGGTATTTAATATTGTGTCTAATATAATAATATATTCAATCTTATAACATTATAATTTATTGTTTGTAATAAAATAAACACAATTCATAGATACCTGAATATTGTTGGTGTCTGCAGTTTCAGTACTTTTGACAAATAATTTTTTCAAATTATGCCGTAATTTAATACATTACAAAAACATCTAATATGGTAATAGATATCAACAAGTGTAACGTATGAAAATAAAATAAAATATTGTATAGATAGTATAAAGTCATATTCTTATACATTTATGTAGATATAAGATAAATGGCTTATGTGCCAGGTGCTATCATGGTATGTTTTACAGTCATTATCAATTTATAGGTAGGTTATAAACTATATAGTTAACTATATATATAATATATATTATATAAGAATAAAATAAAATATTAATTCAATATTTAGTAGTCAAAAAAGTATATATTTTAAATAAAAGTACCTATTTTTAGTAAAGTATGTTTAATTTACTACCGCTTTTATAATAATAGTATGCAATACAAATATATTTCATTTTCTGTAACGTAATAAGTGGTGAAGCCTCAAGAATTAAACACGAAAATGGAGATAACGGGATACTAGATAACAGATTACAACACTGACTGGAGTCTCACCGAAAAGAATCGGTTTCGATACCGGAACCTTTTGAATATTGGAAACCGACACCTCACCGTATACCTTATTTAAATGAATTTAAAAACCGGAATTGATACTTTTACTTGACAAATTTTTTTACATAAGTAAAAAACCAAATCTGGTAACATTTTTTTTTTATTTTCTAAGAACCGAAAAGAAACCGAAACCTAAATGTTAGTTTTTCTGGGAACCGAATAGGAACCGGAACCTTAAAAATCATCAAGGTTCCAGTCCCTGGATTACACACTACTCACAGCTTAAATATACATGTCATATGAATTGCCTAAATATTACTCCTTAAAAAATGATACGCTCCAGCCTAAATTGTGGCATTCTTGAAGCAGGTGATCTATTATGGAATGGTGATCGACCAATTTAATATAAGAGCTATAAAACTAAATTCGTACATAAACATTAATTTTGTTATTATAAGAGAATGCCACCCATGCATTTGTTGTCTCCGTCTTACACAAGTACGACACTGCAAATGTTCGTTCACTAGTTTCAATAATGTGCTGTTAGTTTTGATATTATAGTGAACTGACATGTTATCAACATTTTAGGTAAGAACATTATCTGTGCTTAATAGTTGGCTTTTATTTGATATTTTAATTGTCAAGCATGATATGAGCATTTTATTTTATCTGACTTGAAAATGAAAATATCGAAGAATCGCCAACGTTTAAGCATATAATATAATGTTCTCACAATCTTACCTAAAATGTCGATAACATGCAGTGGCAGCTCGTGTATATGTGCACAAGTGCATATGCACTACCTACCCAAAAGAAAAATTGAAAACATAAATTATAATTATTAATTTATTATACAACTAAGTACTTATAGTGTTATTAAGATTATTTTTAAAAATAAAAAAAAACATAAATTCAGAATATTATGAAAACAAAATAATATTTGGATTGGGTTATTTAATATTTTTAAACTGCTATTATAACAACTTATTGGGAATCTTGTATTATATTTACAAGTTATTTTTTCAGGTGAAAAAGATGGACAATTTCTCAACTGTTTTTTATTAATACTTATAGCAAAAAAAAAATTTGCAAAAAAGCATTTTTTTATTTTTATTTTTGGAGGTCCCTAGTGATGGATGTCTGTGTGCATTGAGCATTGCATCTGTTAGTTAGATATAAGGTAAACATTTTTAATCTCAATTATTTTCATGATTTTAATATACCATTTGGACATTAAAAGTTATAAATTATTGTAGTATAAAAACTGAACATTTAATTAGGTAGGTACCTATCAATATTTGAATGTACAATATTAAAGTTAATTTATCATTATTGAATATTGATACCAATAAACTATTAGGTAATGAACTTCACTAAATGATCAGGATCAATTACAAATTTAGACATTTATGTAACATTGTAATTTTTAACATCCAATAGAGATACAATATTAGATTTTGTTACTTCTATTTATGCTAAAAAATTTAATTTTTTGTACTACCTTACTATAAATGTGAGTACAGCAGTTAGCCAGTGATTTGTGATCTACTTCAGTTGGGATGCTTGGCATAATTATGATGATTGTATTATTTATTATTTTAAACCATTATATTTACCACTTAAATATATTTTATACTTATATCTAACATTTTTTTATAAAGAATAAATATCTCAAATTGTTATACAATCAATGATATTATAAGTAGGTAACACCATTTTTTTTTGAATTAGTGTTGTTTGTGGTTTAGTATACAGAATTATTCCAACTAGTAGGTAGGTAATTGATTAAAAAATAAAAAAATACTTGTATTGAGTATTTATAATCAATGGTAATAGGTACAGTAGGTCATAAGCAACTTTTTCATATATTTTTGACTGAAGAATTCATAATTAAAAATTACATAATAATAAATAATAATTATATAAATGATAATGTTTACAAAGTTTTTATTTTTTATAATTTTTCTTATGACAATATAAATATAACTTATATTTTTATCATTTCAAATGTATCAATATAAAGGTTTATATAGGAAAATATTTCCATGAAGTTCATTAAATCATATATTTATGAACTGAACATTTGATTTTAAATATTATTATACTAAAAGTTTACTTTTTAAGTATCTATAACTAGATGTTTTCTAAGAAATAAAGTTTTCAGAATAAAATTAAAATTGGAGTAAGAATGAACATTAAATAAATAAAAAAAATCTTTAAACATAAGGATGGGTATACATTATTTGGTAAAATGTATCTTATAATATAAGCATTGGTATTTTTATAGGAAAATATGAGGAATAGAAAGCATTAAAACATTCCCTTTTGTTGTTTGTTTCTTGCAGCATTTCTTCTGTTATGGTTCCCGCTGAATGCTTTGTTCTCATTTTTCCTTTGCCTTTCCAACTCAACATTTGGCCCAGATGGTTTAGCTGACGAAGAAGCTACTTGTGGGTTATCTAACATATTTAATAATTACAGATATTTACAAAAAATGTTTCATTTTTTGTTTTTACTAGTAAATACTCACTTCTATTCTTTTTTTTAGATTGCTTTGCAGCAAATTTCCTAGCTTGTCGTTCTCGAACTTCTTCAGGATTTTCACAGAATGGTTGAAAATTCGATACTTTCTGTGGTTCATCATCTGAAGACTCTTCTTTTATAACTTCAGTTATAGCTTTTTTCTCCATTAAAACCCTTGGTACAACATCTGGTCTTCTCTTTGTATTTTCATCTACTGGTTCTGGTCTAACATATTCAATTTCATACGTATCATTGTGTTCATCATTATAATATGAATCCAATTCAGCACATGTAACTTCAGTGACATAATATTTTTCATAAAATGGGCGCATTTCATTTCGGAAAGATTTATTGTCTAAGAGTTTTTTAAATTTCTTAAGTTTCTTATTTCTTAATAAAAATAAAACATAATATTAACAAAAATTAATTATAATATATCGATAAATAATGTATATAGTTTATAGTTTTATATTATTCCTTGAAGTAATAAAACCTTCCCAACTTACCCTTTAATTGAAGGATCAAAACCAGTAGCATTATCCTCATACGCTGACATCAAAGGAAGATTTAAATCATACTGAGTAAGTTCTGAAGGGAGACAATTTTCAAAGACCATGTTTATAACTTTTTCATAATCCATTTCATAATATTCTAAACATTTCTATAAAACAATAAAGGATCAATTATAATTAAATGTTAGAATTAAAAAAATACAAATTAACTAACCTGGATGAATCCATCTCCTAAATGGGGAAATAAATCTTTTACATTATTTATAAGAGACTGCAATTTTGCGTTCTCTATATTTGTACTAATGGTTTGTACCTAAACATACAAATTTATAATATTATTATTTTATATTTTTATTAATAATTAACAATAAATAAACTTGATAAGACAATAACCTCCAACTGTTCTTCTTGTAATTCTTTTTGTGTAAGTTCAGTATATGGTTTATTAATTAATTCTAATGATTTTAATAAATAATCATATCTTGCTGAGTCTCTAAATGGTTTTTTTTTTAATTAAAATAATTACAAATAAGTTATGTATCATTAAAAGTTCTTACATTTCCTTATTAGATTTTTGAAATTTCCTTATATCCTTAGTTAAATTATATACAAGAGTATAGTCGTTGACAAATTCATTGTATTCTAGTAGCTCACTAATAACTTCTAAATACTCTTCTACGGCATTCTCTGATCTTTGTAAAAATTTAAAAATAAATAAATATAATACTTTTTTATCATAAGTATAATAACTTAAGATGGATATATATTTACTTATTTGTAATTTGGGTAGATATATGAAATAAACACTGTCTAACACTTTTCACAAGTAATAATCTTGATGCGTGAATCTTTTCTTGGAATTTTTCCATTTTATTCATAGCAATTACTTTCTTATAAACTATTGGTTTTATACTATGATAAAAGGAAGCTATTCTAAATAAACATAACAGAAAAATAAAATATATTAGTTATTTACAAATAATTATGTTATAGGTTTATTATACATACTCAATATGAAATTTCTCTTCATAAAAATTTCTAGACGCCATTGGATAAATTTCCAAGAAATTTGTAATATTATATGATATGTCTAATAAATAATTAATATTATCTTCGATCAAACAAAGATTTCTTTCTCCAATGTCTGTAGAGGTTTCATTAATTTGACACATGAGGTTACCATACCCCATCTCTATTTCGATTTTATCTTGAAACTGATTTAAGCACTAACAATTTTGTTATTTAAAATGTTTAATATAAATATTATATTTACATTTTATGTAAAAACTTACATTAATTGTAAATTGAATAAAGTTTTTTAAGTTTTCTTTGTATAATTTTTGACAAGTAAACAATTCTTTGAAAATTATTTCTAATTCCTTTTTATATGATTGGCCATAAATTGAACATATATCAAACAACATGGGAATACTTATAATATTGTTATGACATAACAAGCTCCACATATACTGAGGTGACATACAATTCTCCTAATGAAATAAAACAAAACATTTATAAATTGCCTGAAAATGCTGAGAGTATTCATACTTTATTTTCAGAGGATTTAGTTAGTCGTTTAAATAACTTATAAGCAAAATTATCAATTTCATTGTAAACGATCAAAACATCACCATCCTGTGGAAGTTGATCCATCAAGTGAGGAGGAGCAGCTTCTTGAAGAAATGTACATAATCCCATAGTAGCTTGTTTGTTGAAAACAACTGTCGACCAAAATCTAAAACATTAAAATAATATTATTATAAACTCAAATATGTATTAATTATTGTTATATTTACTCTTTAAATGGTAAATTGAGAAGTGTTTTAAAGTCTTGAACCAAATACTTCATCTGTTCTATCCAACATTCTTTTTGAACCAAATCATTGGTGATTGATTTTAATGGATGAATGTATCCCAAAAATTGTCTTTTTAAAGCCAACTTTTTATCCTAAATATTTTAATTCAATACTTCAAAATTTATGAAGATAAATTGTTATTATTTTATATTTAATGTTTCATTATTGTTTTAGCTAGGTATTCCTAATTAATGCTATAATAATAATTAACGATTAGCAATTTTTACAACTATACTTCTATTTTCCTTAATTATTATACACATATTTTAAAGAATTTCTATATTTTAATTACCTATTTTAAAAGTTTCTATTTTGTTTATCTAAAATTCTAAAAGTATTAAAAGGACGCTACATAGACATTTGTTGTCTCCGTCTTATAAATGCGTAATATAGCAAATTGTACGCTCAGCAGATCACTTTAGCTGTGGTAGTTTAAAAATTAGAGCAAATTTACCTCATTTAACATTTAAAGGTAAGATTATTATCTAGAACATCTCATAGGCTTTTTGTTATATTTTCATTTTAAAGCAAGTTATGAGTATTTTACACACAATTTACAATTTTTAAATACTCATAACTCGCTTTAAAATTAAAATATAATAAAAAGCCTATGAGATGACGCAGATAATAATCATACCTTGAAATGTTAAAAGAGGTAGTCATATTATTCTAATTTTTAAATTAACAGAGCTAAATGTAATCTGCTGAGCATAGAATTTGTTATATTATACACGTTTAAGACGGATACAACAAATGTCTGTGTAGCGTCCTCTTAAGTGGGCATTACATTAATATGGCTATACATATTGTACGGTACCTATTGCAAATTTTATCGATTGATCTATTGTTATTTATTATGATTATTATAATTTATACATTCACAGATGATACAATAAAAATATTCATAAGTAAACAAATAGTTAACACGTTGACTGCGTACTTCTTTTTGCTGTTTTCACACAGTGCATATGATAAAAGTAAAACAAAATAAATTTAAAAAAAAATAAAGAACGTGCTCATAACGACGTATGTATACATATTTAGAAACATGCATTTAATCCATACTAAATAATAATAAAATAACATTCAGCCACGCGTAGGGAATATTAAACCATTTATTTTAAATATATATTAGACGCCGATGATGAATTATCCTCATTACGCCAAATAGCATCAGTACGCATTCTACGTGTTAACATTTGAATTTGGAAAAAATAAAATAATAATATTAATAATACCTAACGATAGTTGGAATTCACAAATTAGTCATAAACATTCATTATTAATACATTTAAAGGTAAGAATATTATCCAGGAAATTTAAAGAATATTAATTAGTTGCATTTTAAAATAAGTTTTATTATTTTAAAATTGTAATATTTTCTATAGTTATAACTCACTTTCAAATTAAAATATCAATAAAAGCATATACGATGCTAAATCACTCTAATATTGAAAATTAAACACAAAATTGATTCTGCTGAATGCACAATATTTTCTAAATTTAATTTACAAACTATATAATTTACTAAAGGTAAAATATACCTACAAAATTATTGTAATAGTACCCCCACTAATTATTTTATCACGTTAAGGAATTAAAATGACCTAGGGCTCTTTTATTAGAGGCTTACCTATACTGGCTATACTATGATATATTCTAAGATACGGACTGTACCCTTACACTGCCATTTTATTTTTGTTTGATAACCTTGTATATTTAAGCCATGGGTACATATTATGTTGTAGTACCTAGGTATGTATCAAAGTGTATACCTACTATATAATTTTTTCAAATATAATAAAAAATACAATAGCAATGACTAAATATGCAAGAATTGTAGACTAAAATCAAAAAGAATAATTATGACAATATCCATTAACTACTATAAAGCTCTGGATTTTTAAGGATTAAGTTAGATCAGTGTTTCCCAACCTTTTTTTACTCAACGCCCCTTTTAGATTTTAAAAATCTCCCCCCCCCCCCCCCCCAATCTAACTGTTAGATGATGCCATAATGATGATTAACTATGTTTATATATGTGATAAATAGCTATGATCATAATGAGAAAACTATTTTTCTGTTTTAAAATGTCAAAGTAAATTGTTATAGGTAGTTAATGGAAAGATATTTATTTAATATAAAAATACAGTTATTATACAATAGTATCAATTAAATAATAAGTTTAGAATTGAGTTAAATTTTTAGAAAAGATTACCTACAATCGGCAATGTATTAGTCTCTAGAATGTGTACTTATATAAGCTTCTGTAAGCACATTAATAAAAAAATTCATATCCAAAGACAGCATTGTAAGATAAGAATTTACATAGTATAATATAATATAATTTCAAAATTTTACTTCGACAGCCATTTAGGCGTTAGTTTTGAGTTGACCACTGCGACGAAACTAATTGTTTAATACTTAACTGATAGGTAACACACAAGCTCAAGAAGATCAAAAAGATAAAGTATGAACACAGTTAAGTTGTAATAATACTAAATTACTAACTTATAACTCACAAGTTACAAGTTATAAAATTAAAAATGAATTCTATGATAATATTATAGTTATAAGCATGGACTAAGATAATATCTTAGTTCATAGCACGAATTAAGATAATTAAGTATATCTTAATTCGTGGTTCATGGTAATAAGTAATAACGTCAACCGGTCAACCATAGGACCTAATAACTAAGTTAACGGTATAGACCGTGATATAAGTAATCTATTAGTAATTACTTCTATCATTGTCTAGACCACGAATACTGATATATGGTCGCACAACGAGCATATTATTTTATAGTACAATAATTAACTGGTGCCGAATATTCTTATCAAGTTACATATTATAATAATATTATACATACCATAAAGACTAGAGCTGATAAAGAGGCCAAACTCTGCTGTCCGCCTGCACAAAAATTGGTTCCATCAAACACGATCACAAATTTCTCCACCAGTCTGCGTGGCGGTCAAATCCGAGGCCGGCTGAGAGTGTAATACAATTTTATTATTAACCGGTCATAGATAGGACTTTATTAACTTTAAAAAATTATAATTCAAAAACTAAAAATCGCATTTAAATTATAATTACACCATCTTATTCAGCGCAAATTTATCTTTAAGACTAAATTACAAAAATATTATTAATACCTATTCTGTACTTACGTTATAAATTTTATTTTTAAATGAAGTAGGTATTTTAATTATTTATAAAGACAAGAAATGTATTACCTATACTGGTGTATTTCTAGTGGTAGATTCATATTTACGATACCGATTGGTTACACCAAAAGACGGAAATATTTATAAAAAAAATTAGCACTTAATGTTTTCGATATTTTGAAGTGTTATTTTCTTTATTTTTTGAAATTAAATTGAATTAAGCTTTACATAAAAATGTTTTAAAATGATTCGAAGTTGTTATGCCCCTAGTTGTTCAACTGGCAATTCTGAAGAAAAAACATAAAATCAGTTAAATGGAATTCAAAATAAAAGTATAATATTTAAAGCACCAAAGACAAGTCATTTAATTATTATAATACAAATACTCACAATAATATCCATATATTTTTAATACCTTGAGCAAGAATGGTAGGTACACCGAATAGGTATGTGAACTAAACATTTTCCAATTTCAGGTTCTTTATTATTGTAATGATTCGTTTGGCTAAATTGCTGGATTTTTCTGTAATAATTTTGGCACAAATGAAAATTCAAAACTCAAAAGATAAAGTTCGACATTGTTAGTTTTATATTTTGCTTACATTCGTTGTTTTCCGTCCAATTATTTATTCTTATTTTTTTTCGATCCACGAAAACCTTTATGTTCAACGAAATCATTATATAAGTTTGGGAGATATAAAAAAATTAAATATTTATATATTTTACTGTCATTACACATTATGTTGTCTAACTCATCGGGCCCACTTGGGTGTTTTTTATTATTATTTATTTTGATCCCCCCCCTCGAAACCACCATGTACAACCTAACCTAACCATGTACGCTTCTGAAATCGTGATATGTATAATGGGCGCAATTCATGTTATATTATTCAATATTATAATAGCCAGTCTGGGCGGGCGTCCGCATAGCCGCGGAGTACAGACTATTAAACTCTCTGGCTACTCGGTCAGGCCGAGAATGGAATGTCGATAACAATAAAGAAAGCCATGAACACGTTTTTCGACTGGGAGTTTTCTCAATTCATATTTCACTATACCAGCAGGGGACCAGAATAAAATGCGTTTACTCTGCACATCATAATATTGGGCAGCGGACAGAGAAACCTTATTTGTTTCGTCTCTCGTCATCCATCTTCGTATTTACATTAATTATGTTACATTTTAATTAGGAAATGGATTTCAATGCATGTACCATTTTTTTCTTTGTTTCCTAAATGCAATACAGATTAAATAAAAAATTTCTCAGGAAATGAAATATATACGTACCTACATATTGAAAAAAATCAGAGTTAAAAAATATTATGTCTAGCGGTCGCAACGACTTTTTCGTCACCCACCTCTGTTTTTTCCAGAACCTATGTCAGACAATCCGTACATACCAAGTTGTATTGTTCTATACTCAATAAAGTATAAGTTGTAACCTTAATGGTTCGTTAATATTTTGACTCATGTTAAGCTATTTATACTATTTTTTATTATTATTATTAGTTAACCCGCGGCAACTTAGGCCATAGGGTGGTTTTTATACTGTGGGGGAGGGAACAGTAATGGTAAACACTTGTGTGTAGTTTTGGCAGATTTTCAAGTGGGCGCCAGTAGGTATCTGCCATGCCCTGCTCCTGCATGTAGCGGATGGCGGCACTTGTTGTCCGGACACCGTGACTTGTACGAAGAAAAATGCCACCCGTGAACCGAGGTTTGAACCAGAGCCGGTTTGCTTCACAAGCGACTCCTTGGGACGGCCAATCCGTCCCCCTTTTTATACTATTATAAACCTCAACATGACATATATATATATACATAATATATGACAATTTCGATTATGTATTATTAGTTTTTTTTAAAAACTAATGTGGATAAAAAAATGTTTGCTTGGTCAAAAAACATAAAAATGTAATACAAAGTTCCTCGTAAGTTGTTGTTATTGGAAATTAAAAAAAAAGTTGAACTCAAATCCACAATAATATTTTATGAGCTTCTGATGTTCAAACTAGGTAACAAATTCTCATTAAACGATTTTCTTTTTTTGTTGTAAGTCATTAATTCAAAAACAAATAACAGTAGATACTTGAAATGTACACTATATTATGTTTTTTTAATAACTTTCTATACTTGATAAAATTTAAAAAAAATGTCGACTTGTTTCAAGTTGCTTACGGACATTTTCAACTTTCAATTAGTTAATGTTACTCAACCTTCAATAAAATTGTATTTATTCGGTCAAAAACTTGAAAATGTATTAAGAGGTTCGTCATATGTATATGATTTTAAGCATTTGAAGTTTAAATTTCGACCAAATGAATCATAATGAAAATTTACAGATTATTTTGTAGTTAAAACTTTATGAAATGTTCAATTTTTATAGCTAAGGTTCCACTCGAGTAATTAATAATGTAATCAAAAAATATAGAAAATATACAAACACAGTTTTTTTAAGTTATTTGATATTAAAATTTGGACGAAATTAGATATTTATATGAAGAAAAACTTAAGTTTTGTGTCATAGGTTAGAAATATTATTTGCGGGTGCTTGAAACTTTGTATATTGAAACGGTTATTACATACAAAAAATATTAATTCAACTTACCAGCTACTATGCAACCGTATTAATATAATATAAAATATCCTTGGCTTATTAAGTATATTTAAAAACTCCAAAAATTAGATTTTGAATAAATAAATTATAAAATGAAAAAAATGGTTTGATCATATAGGCATAATATAACCAATTAACATGTAGGTACCTACCTATAAATTATAATATAACTTAATACAATGCCATGTATGTATAATGTATATAGTCATAACGAAAAATATTATTTGGTAATGTGTATAGTAAAACTCATACCTATTATAATTCTATTATCATATTATTTATTTATTGTTTCGACATAAAGACTTATTTTCGGCCCCAGGACAATATATTTTCGTCACGAGGTTCTCCGATGGGGATTGCACGAAGATTCCTTTCGGGAATTTCGAACACCTTCCCACTGGTGATAAAAGTTTCCCGATGATCCTTTTTTTCGGGTCCGACACCGACTGATCACACTTGACCTTGAACTGGTAGATGGTGGACGGCATGGGAAACTCTCTAGGAAACAGATAGTTCATACACACTTGGAATAGACTGACGTAGCATGTCTCTTTGTCACTGCCTTGGCATATGGAATGGAATTCTGAGTTACAGCTACAACTCTGGTCACTATTGTATAGTGGTGAAAACATTAGCTTTCATTAGGGTAGTGATTATTTGAATGATTTTATTAGTCGTTTGATTATCATTCACGTGACATGAAATTATATTGCAATAATGGCTGTGGGTTTGTTAGATTGAGTAAAAGGACATGCATAAGGATGGTTAGCTAGTATAATAAACGATCTGAAGAAGAATAAATATGGCTAGGTAATATTATAAAGCAGTCGCGTCAACTCAGTTTTTCAATTGTTCATGCCAAAATATTTGCAGGTCATTTAAAATAATTACAAGGTCTATACAAGTATATAGGTTAAATCAGCACATACATATTATTTTTGTTATCCTTGTGTTATTGCAACTGATGTGGGGAGTGCGTTATCATTACGTCTTCTACTCCTTACCCGTTAGCATTACTTTCGTCGTACCAGTACTTACATTATACATGATTCCTAGTAGGTTTAGGCAATACTGGACAAATGGATGCTATTTTTAACAAGGTAAGTTAAAGTAACAATTTTTTCCAATTAAGTTAAAAAATGAATTGACAAATAGGTACTATAAATTTAACTTTAATTAATAAGTTATGTATTATTATAGATTACCTACTAGCTGATACCGTGCACTTCGTTGCTCGTTAAATGTACCAACTCTATATAACTCAAACTTTGTTCAATTCATTATTTAATATTCAGTGTATAGTATTCAAAATGTATCTTAACTTTTCGGTCTTTTCCTTTACCAGGAATAAAAATTCTGATTTGCAGCAGTATATTATCAGGTAGGCCAATCTACCTGCTTGTTGTTTGTACATGAGTGTATGATTTAACTATAAAGTATCAAAGTTATACCAAGTTTGTCGTATTACACCTATGGTGGATTAATATAATAATATCAGATAAATAAAAAAAAACAAATTTAACCATTTTTAAATTAACCTGTCTTCTTCCCAGAGATCTAATATACTCACAAACATTCATTTATATAATAAATATATATATTGACAAAAATAAACAAACATGCCCGATTAACCAATAGCAACCAATATATAATACCTACACTGTTGGGCCACTGTTGTATTTCTTACATCCAGATTTCCTACTTTTCCGGTGGATTTTCCTAAAATTTTCTTTCTTAAAAACCTCCTGGCAATTAAAAACGTCTTAAAAAAAATTTGATCCAAATCGGACCAGCCGTTTTTGATTGTTGAGGTATAACGACGTTTTCAAGCTCCATTTTTATATAATATAGATTATAGATTAAAAAAATTATATAAATATTTTTTTAATAATAATTTTTTTTCACTTGTCTATCCAAGCAATTTACTATAATAATACCTACTTAATGATTGTCGGAGTGATGAAAATGATGAAAAATTATCGGATACATTTTTTTATATTTTTTTATGGCACTTTCCTTAAGCTCGTAGCAATATAGAATAACTTAATAGTATGTTATCGAAAATGTCGATAGTTATTAGTAAATACTACCTACTTAATAAATTACTTAATTGTGTACCTATATTCTATCTTCTTATGTGTGTGTGTGGGTCCATATTACCATGGCAACCAACCACATGAGGAGAAATAGAATGATAGTCCGTCTGTGTGGTTGTCCTTGAGGTAATTGGTTGCCATGGTTAGGTTAGGTAACCTACCCATGGGTTTTGAAGCTATTATAATAACAATTGGTTTAAAACTGTTGTTATGGTAACGGTTATATTATAAAATAAAACAAATTATTCATATAAAGTTGGCATTTTTAATGGGCAACGAAGTGCAAGGGATCAGCTAGTAATGAATAAAATAAGTTTAATTAATTAAATCATCTGGATAAATTCATCTAGATAACGATAATTTTTATCTTAGATAACTGTCTAAATTAATATTTTCTATTTATCTAGATAAGATAAGAGATAAAATAATATTTATCTACATAATTTATCTAGATAAACTCAACACTGGTGGTAAGATTGTAAGAATATTACAATTTATAACAACATTTAAAACGTTAACCAAACTTTTTTTAACATGTTAAAAGTGGTTTAATTTTCATAATACATCTGCAGTATGTCTGTATATAAAAAAAAATAGTGTGCGACGTGCGTTTTAATGAGTTACCAATTTCTGCTAAAAGTATACCATTCCCTTTCTCCCAATATCAAATACAAAGGAAATAATTAAGGAAATAATAAAGGAAAGAATTTTTTGAAAAATATTGAATGATTTTAGGGGGATGGACAAATTATTATTTACATAAATAAATCAGTGGTGTCATATCAGTTTTAAATAGGAGGGGGTTAGGGAGTTAAAGTTTTGACCAGCCATATAACTGAACAAAAAAATACAGATAGTTTCGCTCGCAAGATAATTGCCACTTACAAATTTATCTCGATATAATTCCCATCTTACATAACTTTATACGTATCTGAGGAAAAAATAGTCTTTAGGTTTTTCGAAATCATAGATAATTTTAAGAGTGATATAGTTCATTTTTAGAATTTCTATAGTATCAGCGTCTACAAATAAACTATAAATATTTATTATTATTATTTCAATAGTGTTTAGTGCTTACACATAAAATATTTCCTTTAAATTATGGTTGTGTTATTTATCCAACAATCTGTCCAACCATTGGACTGCTTTCACAATCAGACAGGGGCAAATTCCCTCATTGCTACCACTCAAATAAATAGATAAATGCATGGTTCATAATATATCATAATGGTTGCAACATGTACTTACCACAATATAAATATATCTATAGGTAATAGGTATTTACTTTGTTTATACAAGCGTAAAATACCTATTGAAGTCAAAACTTTAATGAAATTCGTAAAAATTAATTCGTTTTCTGTAAGCCGTATGAGTAATGATAAAATTATGTAGGAAATAATAGTCAGGCATCGGCGTCCATGCGGGGGTGCCAGGATGTGCATAGCACCCCTAGCTTATAAAGCTTATAACTTATTTTGAGCTAAAAATATTGTTTAAAGTGTAATTTTGGGTCTATAAGGATGAGTTTATTCAAGTTTGTATTAGTGACGCACTAATACAAACTAACGCTACGGATGTGAATTACAGATGTGAATCTATTATCACATTGGCTGTTTTAACTCAAGTTTATTTTTAGTATTTATTAATAGAATACTGAATAAGATTTAGTTTTTGTGTTCTGTCTACCGATATGATAGCTTATTGATATGTATATATTGATAAATATTAGTTATTATTATTCCGTTTGATAATAATATTATGTATATCTATTATATTAAATAAATTTCAATCGTTTATAGACGGGTATATATTCTTAGTAGTAGTGTAGTATCTTTTTTTAATGTTTTAATTTATTATTTAATATGAAATTAAATTAATTTATGTCTGGTAGGTACCTATAACTTGTATAGGGGTTTTTCACTTTTTCGGGCTAAAACATTTTAGCACTCCCAAGTTTAAGACTGAATGACGTCTGCGCCTATGTAGTCAGAATGTGTTATACATAGGAAAACATAGAAATACAATGAAATACAGTAGGTACATTACATGAACTACGATAATGATTTTAATAATTGTAAGATATCGCGGGAAATAAATCGTATGGTTTTTGGCGGAAAAAGGAAAGTTATATACTTTTGGCGGATACCGGATATGCTCGACTTTAACCCGCGCTAAGTCCTAAGTGTATTGTATTTTGTGACATAATGGACCAATGAAATGTGTGGTTTTTGTCTATATAGAGCAGGGATGGTGAACCTAAATCACGCGTGTCACAGAGTGATAAGCACACATTATTAAATTATTTCAGTGACATTCCGCAATTTAAAAAGGTACCTAGGTACATAATATAATTCGTAATTTTTACTTCACTTTCCAAAAAAATTAATGATAATTTGAAATCATTTTTAACTTATTATTATTGTAATATATTTTTATTTTTTATTTTTTATAATAATTATACAATCTATACTTTATAGCATAATAAGTATAAGTGACAAGTGACAAACAAAACATGATAATCGTGATTAAGAAGTCACCCACTAGTGACTCTTTGCGTGATGGGATTGTAATATATCGTAAGATATTTTTAACTTTATGTCGTAATCTGTACTTTCCATTTCCCAATCTCGTAAACAAAACGATTTGACTATCAAACGGTCAATACGCAAATGCGAATGAATAAATTCGTATAGGTATTGCATTTAAGTAAGACACGTACTACGTAGGTAGGTACAACAGAACAGTCGTCAACAGAAACCTATAGTTTTGGATGCCTTATACGAAGACTATTTTAACCAACCTATTCATTATTGTTTCGGACTCAATTTCGTTAATATTGTTTAAATATAATTCACGTTTAACCGTTGGCAATTTAAGACATTGGTGAGTATTATTTTGTTTACCGATATTTCAATAACAAATTAAAAATTCGTTTAAAATAATTTCTATTATATTATAAATTTATAGATTAAAGGTGTCCAAAAAATTACAACTGAATCTAGGTAAAAAGTAGTAGTGAGAGATTATTCCACGAACAATTGTCAGCGGATTTTGGTGTGATTCAAAACAATAATAAGGTATTATGTAGCTTGTGTATCAAAACAGTTATAAGAGGTACCTACCTAGTTTTAATGTTAATAGACTGTTAAGAGACATTTCACGATAATATATTATTTTCTCTATCAGCCGAAGAAAAATTAGAATTTATTTCTCAAAAAGTAAAATTTTTTTAGTAGTCAATCAAACAATATTAATTAAAGAGGCTTTTAAACAAAATAATAATATTTTATCAGCATCTAGTTTTTTTGTATCACATTGCATTGCGCAGCATGGTAAGCCACTTTCTGACGGAGAATACCTACTTAAAATAATAATAATAATTATTATTATTATTATTATTAAAAGGAGTTTTTTTTAAGACTTCTAACAATTTGTTTCAAGATTTTACTAATAAAAATGAAATATAATAAATCTATTTGCCCATTAGTAGAAGTACTATTAAATATCGTATTATTTGTATGAGTAATGATATAACA